AATGCAGGATCACCAATTCAATATAAAAGTTAGGAAACTTAGCAGCAATCTGTTTGGTTATTATATTGTCTCTTAACCCTTTAAATTATCACTTCCATGATGAATTCCACACTCCTAACATCTGAGGTAGATGTGAACATGTTATTGCATAGATGGGACTAAGACTGTGTCTGGGACTTTAAAGACCATCAATACTACTGGGCAAGAAGGGATTAGACCACACGGCGAGGTCACTGACAGGTGGCTATCTCATTAACTCAGCTCTCAACTAACATAAGAAAAAGAGGATCATGGGGGACCAACAGGCACCGATTGGGGAAGTTTTCTATATAGAGGGAACAAGTAGCTACAAGTAGGACAGTGTGGCTTTAAGCGTAACCCGTTTGATTTCCAATGATCAGAGACATGCCTTCACTGCCCTGGTTAACCCTTTGTATGCCACACAAATAATCCCCCTGTGCCACATTGTACAGTGAAACCTGTCTTTAAAGACCACCCAAGGGAGACAAGAAGAGTGGTCTTGAAATTGATGGAGGAAAAAAAAGTTTTGAAATGTCACGACGTTGCCATTTATATACCTACAATTTTTTAAGAGAAATATTTATTTTTATCAGAGAGGGGGAGAAGGGAGAAGGGGGGGGGGCAATAAATATAAACTCTTCCTTATTTCCCATGTTACACTTTGCGTTGCTTAATGCAATCGAGTTTCAAACTTAATCTTATATTCAACCAATCTAACAAGTTTACCTCATGCCTTTCTTATTGATCAGTGTCAATGTACATACTGGTTTTAAAAGGTCACTAATAATACAACACATCTGCAAACATTTATTTCTTCTGATTAACAAGAGGCGAAATATATTACAGTGAGAAAAAAAAAATCACTGGAAATAGCCTTTAACCTCAGGGTTCTGGGCTTGATGAAAAAAGTCCATACAAGTCACGAAAAAGTACAGAGTACATTAGACTACATGTACATCATCATTAGCGATGTAGACACAGAGCTTATATCAAGAAGGCGTGTCACTTGATGCTGTATCATGGTAGTAAAGTCCCCTGATACCAGTTTTTTTTTTTTTTACATCTTTACAACAATCCTTCTCGCTCTAAACAAATCATAAAGGTCATTCCACAAAGTTGGGGCAATTTTTGTGACAAACCAGAAGTGAGAAAATATGTCTCCTATCAACTATAACAATGTCTGCTCGAATTGAGTTTTGCATGAAAAGCATAGCCAACTATCTTCAGAAGTACTCAAGCTTCATGTTGAATCAATAATATGGACCCAAAGATTATGTAATGTTATATGAATATGGTGTCCATGTAACGCTGGTAAAAAGAGAAATGTGTATCAAGCAAAGATTTTGAAGAAAAGCAACTGAAACAGGAACGATTCTGACAGGGCACTGCTACATGTATATTCATTGCATAAAAATCTTCAACGAATAATTTCATCTTCCATGTGTAGTAGAAGATCTCATACTAATGGACACTGTCATATTTTTTGCCCCAATTTCATGGAATGATCCATAACACTATTTCAAGATGAGAATAATCTCGGCCACCGATTAATATCTCTTCCAATATCTTCTTGATCATTCAAACTATGATGAAGAAGTCATAAATATCTCATGACACTCTCGTGGAAAAAAAAACTACTCAAGACAATTTGAATGAACAAATGAAGGGATAAGAATATCAGCCGGAGTATCCGACGTTCTCTTTTATTCATGGTAGAGTGCGATGTTAAAAGGGCAAATTAGGAAGCAAATCAAATTCTGGCGAGTATGTACACAGGTTTCTCAATGACTAATGGGTAGTGGAAACAATCCATCTAGCTGCCCAAGCGTACATGAAACAACTCATCAATTTGATTATTCATAATTTATCGAGCCTGTCCATCATGCAAGGCATGTCGTGAAATTTCCTGGGTCAATAGTCATTATGGAGCGTTTCCCTTTTTCCGAAACAGCTAGTTGGCTACTATTACCGAAGCTGATGATCAGGGAAGCCCAGCATAAACATATACTGTGATGACAACTAAGCTATGTTTTTGGTCTTATCCATACGTTGCTTTTCCTCCTTCACTTAATGGGACAACTATTAAATACTCCCCCACTAACAGTGGCGTACCTGGGGTACTCCGTCAGGGGGGGCAAGCGACCGAAACAAACAAAAAAAGGCAATGCTAATTTTCACTTCTGGCGAGCGAGCGAGCAAAAAAAAATCTTTAAGTAACGTTTGGTATATAAATAATAATAATAATAGCTAGTTCTTATATAGCGCTTTTCAGGACCGGAGGCCCTCTCAAAGCGCTTTACAGATGTATATATTATTACCCCGGTCATAGGATTCAGGCTTACCCGCACACAATGTATGCACATTCTCCACTGGTATTGTTGCAAGTTGGGGTGGGAACATTCACTTGTTAGCGACGTTAATTTCATTTTTTTGCAAAGGAGCGTAGCGAGCAAGAAAAAAAAAATCACTTCTTTTTTAATAATTGCCACTTAAACTTGGTTCAATTGTCCCATGCAGGGCGCGGGAACAATATTGCGTTTAGGGTGATTTTATACCCATTTTAGCTAGCGAGCCAAAATACATCTTTCTCTCAATGAATTGCTATATAAAATTCGTTTCATTGTTGCAGGTCGGGGCGGGCACAATCGTGTTTAAGACAATGTCAATCCCATTTTGGCGGGAAGGCAACCCTCTACATTTCTCTTTTTAATGATATTGTAGCAGGTTAGTGGTGGGCACATAATTCCACGAGCTAGCGAGCGTAGCGAGCGACCGAAAAAAATCACTTCTCTTTTATAGGGAAAATATGGTACATAAAACTTGGGTTCTTGTTCCATGTCAGGGACGTGATTATTAAAAGCGGTGTTATTTCTAATTTGGCGAGCGAGCGTAGCGAGCGAGCGAAAAAATCACTTCTCTTTTATAGGGAAAAATATGGTACATAAACTTGGGTTCATTGTACCATGTCAGGGACGTGATTATTAAAAGCGGTGTTATTTCTATTTTGGCGAGCGAGCGTAGCGAGCGAGCAAAATTTGTAATGATAATTGGTTCATAAATTTCAGATTTTTTTGTTGCAGGGCAGGGCTTACACAATGTCTGAGCTGATGTTAATTCCGTTTTGGCGAGCACGAGCACACCAAAACTTCTTTGAATAACGTTTGGTACATAATTATTAACTGGTTGTTGCAGGTTGGGGCGGGCACGTTAGCGATGTCAATTCCATTTCATTCCATTCCATTCCATTCCGAAAAAAATCACTTCTCTTTTATAGGGAAAATATGGTACATAAAACTTGGGTTCTTGTTCCATGTCAGGGACGTGATTATTAAAAGCGGTGTTATTTCTAATTTGGGGAGCGAGCATAGCGAGCAAGCAAAAAAAAAAAATTCTCTTTTAATAGAAATTAATAAATAAACTTGTTTTTATTGGTGCAGGTCAAGATGGACGCAATCGCGTTTAACATGATTCAATTCCTTTTTGGCGAGAGGGCGAAAAAACTCTTCCATTTTTAATGATATTGTTGCAGGTCAAGGGTGGGCACAATTGTTTCCAAAGCAATATCTATTCATTTTATTCGCGAGCAAGTGTAGCGAGCGAGAAAAATGAATTACTCTCTTTTAGTAACATTTGGTACATACACTGTGTGTTATTGTTGCCATGGTTGCAGGTCGGGGCCCGTCGGGGCAGGCACAATTGTATTCTAGGCAATGCTAATCCTTTTCTTTTTTTCAGGGGGACGAGCCAGTGAAAACATTTAATACAAAATAGGCTAGCAAGCAGTTCGCGCCAGCGAAGAGTTTCGAATTTGTTATATAACTTATATTTTCCTATTTTCATTTGTCTTAATTTTTCAGGGCCGTAAGCGGAATATTTTTCTGGTGGGGGAGGGGGAAAGATGCGTTAAAAGTTTTCGAAGAATCTCAAAAGCAAAAGGAGTGAAGGGAGTTCGAGCGACCGAACTGGTCATGAGGGTACTTTTGCATTTTCAAAAGTAGAATTGAAGGATTTGGTATAGGCCTACACTACATTTTCAGGAAAAAAACTGTACGTTTTCAAAATATCTGGGGTCAACTGCCCCCCCCCCCCTGGTGCGTACGGCCATGGTCTTTTTTTTTTTAATTTCCCCATTTTTTTCCTTTCCTTTTCTTTTCCCTTTTTCTTCCTTTTCTCTTCTTCTTCCTTTTTTCTTTCCTTTTTCTTTTTTTCCTTTTTTCTCTTTTTTTCCTTTTTTCTTCCCTTTTCTTCTTTTCTTTTTCTTTCCTTTCCTTTCTTTTCTTTTCTTTCCCCTTTTTCTTTTTTCCCCTGGAGCCCGTCAGGGGGGGCACTCTGCCCCCCCCTGCCCCCCCATAGGTACGCCAGTGCCCACTAAGGACCACTTTATAACAATCTTCTCGTGGGTAGGTTTGATGTCGGTTGTAGAAAGTTGTATAGGAGTATATCGTCTGTTATAGGCCTTCTCTTAACTACAATATGTTTTTACTCTGCCTTTATTATTCAATGCTTTTAAATATCCTCATGGAGTATATTATGGTAGAGGCGTCGGAGTCGAGTGGTTTAAGCAGTTGCCATATGCCCTCAGAGTGACCATATGGTAGGAATACTGCTCAAGGAGTGGAGATGGTGCACATTGTGCATAAGTGAATCTGATGAATGGTGTAATAATATCTGTAAAGGGCTTTATTGATGATTTTCTTCCAAATTTCCATATGTTGTAGCTAAGACAATTGTCTACAAGCTTAGTCACCACCATTTTCATTTTGATGACGTCATCATAGTGAAAATTTTGATTAAAGGCCATATGTTAGAAATTTCTTAATTTGCATGCTATGCCTAGGGAAGGTGAATTTCGTTCACATCATAAATCTATATGACATTGTTTTTTTTAGCAGTAACATCGCTTATTTTTGCTCTATTTTCGCCCACCTATACTTGTTCCGAACAAGTATTACATGTCTAGTTATTATAATATTACTTACATGCTTCTCTGATATAGGCCTTCTCTGTCCTGATTGGCTGCGGTTCAGCAGCGGCTTCGCAGACGCACCAGAAATCCTCATCGCCAAAGTACTCCTGCACCTCATCTTTTGTTATGGCTAGACAGAGAATCAAGGAAAGTATACAGAATAAATCCCCATGACAACCATAAGATCTAAAAAAATTATGATGATGATCGTGATGGTGATGGTGATGGTGATGATGATGATGATGTTGATGGTGATGATGATGATGATGATGATGATGATGATGAGGACGATGAAAGTGATGATGATGATGATGATGATGCTGATGGTGATGATGATGGTGATGGTGATGATGGTGATGAAGTTGATAATAAAGATATGGAGATAATGCTCTGTTATATCGATTTCTATATTTTGTTTTGGTAATCATCTAAGATACTTATTGATTATTTTTCCATCGGCTAATAATTCATTCATGATAATGATTGGGAATTATTATTTTTGGTTCATGTTTTGGTATTTTATCAGCCAGTGATTATCTTATCCTCCCCATCAATGAAATCTTATCTTCCAGCTTTAAGAACTGTAAAATATGACATTAACATAGTTATCTAATGAAAAATCAAACCCCCTAAAAAAAAGCAAACAAACCTATGAATGGGGAGAAGGCTTCAATACTTAATCGTTTTTCAGTATAAAAATAAAGAGATGTACTACAATTCCTTATGCAGTCTTAATAATATTTGAATAACCAATAGACCAATAACTACCAAGCATTTGAAAAGAAGTATTCATGCTTTTTGGCTACAAAATGTAAAGACTTATATATCTTGGAAGTTATATATAACTAATAATAGGACAGTAGAGAAAAAATGCAGAACTTGTTTCTGTATTACAATTCATGAGCATCACAAAAAATAACTGTTCCATGAACAGAGATGACATCATTTTGCATGGCCATGTTCCTCCATCAACACAACTGTTTCCCATCCAATATTTCATAACACGAAGGTGAAAACAAATGAGTTCATTCTTGAGCGGTCAAAACACACCCAAAATACATTGTCGTACAAAAGCCTGAATTAAACTTAATTGTAAATTATGTGGGCCTCAGCTGCTCGGCAATGCCAGGCAACCTTACCAGCCAGACACGATCCCACGCAACAGTTGCACCCTTACTGTGATTTACAGCTATGCAGGGCGGGCCGATCGTGTGCTCTGCCACGTTTGGCTCATACATGCCAGCCCGACCAGTAAGGCCTGTCCTCATTAGCTTGAGATTGCCAAATAGCCCGCTATTTCTGATTTGGGAAATAATCCCAAAGTTGCAAATCGTGTCATCATCAGCTCGAGACTTGAACTTAAAACTTGAAACTTGATATTTTCCTCAGTGTTAATTTGTGCATAGTGCAAGCCTTTGGGCTGGTGAGGACGCACCGGACAAATAGCGGTATATTTTACAAACTAGCCCAAGATATCTTGGGATGATTATCTCAACCAAATATCCCACTAATTGCAACTTCAGGCTGATGAAGCCGCAAATTAACTGGATAATTTGCGATCGGGATAGTTAAAAAAGCGGGATATTTGGCAATCTTGAGCTGATGAAGACATGCCTAGTATGGTATGAGTACAAGTTTATTGGCGTGTGCTCAGAGTGAGAAGTGGATCTAATTAAGAGGAACATAACTCTCAATTTCTTCTAAATTGAAAGCCTGTCTGTGAGTTGCCTCTTAGTCTTAACAATGTAGATTGATGAGAGAGAAGCGCACTTTAGTATCTCAAAAACAGAATCCAACCAATTAAATGCTCCATTAAATCTTCTCCCCCCTAAAAAGCATTATCATATGTTCCCAAAACTTTCAGAAATATTGATATCATGAAAACTATGAATGCAATCGTAATCAGATCACACCTCTGCTTAATTAATTTGTTATCAGTGACGCGCGAACGTTAATTAATGGGTTAAAGGCCAAATGAAGGATTGATTGCCGTATGACCTCAAACTAATCTATTTATCCCAAGCACAAATTAATCACCATTTTTTTAAAATTCTTATCATGAACATCAAAGTAGGGGGATATTATCCATTTGAAATGAATTTGATAACCTCATTTTCAGAAGTAGGTTTCGTTTTAGGATATTAGGAATGGTCAACTCTAATGCACTTTCGGGGTGATGGATTCGAATTTTGTGCATACAAGCAAGTTTGACACAAAATCTAATGTTAACTATTTAAATAAAGGTTAATCTGGTTGTCAGAGGATTGTTCATCATAGCAACCAATACCCTAATATACTTGAAAAGTAGCCATTTTGTAACAGGTACAAACAATTTAAACTGACCATTGAAAGTTATTGAATTGATTAAAAGAGTTAAGAATAATTTGGTTCCAGAATGAATTCGCACAATGCAATGTTAAAGTGGAAAACTCTTTCAACTTTAAATATGTTGGGTCTTTTTTTTTAGAAATATTTCAATCTTTACTTGTTGGCACAGTTCCTTTGGCTCTTCATACAAGATCTAATCTGATTTTTGTCAAATCTAAAGGAATATTCAACAGCACCTTTAACACCTTCTAAACATTTCATGATGCGTCTAATATCCCTATACATGTATGTCTTTTTAGATCATAAGACATCCAACTTAATATTTGCTTAATTAATAAATAATATAGTAATGTCACACAATGATGTATTTGAAATACTTACATAAGGCTATATGTCTAATATCCTCATAGTATTCATCAAAGGTACCAATAGAATGTGTCCTGCCATCAGCTATCTTCTCATCATTGCATATAAAGTAGACATTGGGAGAGGGACCGGCCTTGCATTCTAGATCCACGCTTCTTTTTGTAATGTAAGAATCCTGTGGAACGATGAAGAACTGCGTCGGAGGAAGAGGGGTCATGGTTGTTGGGACATCTGCAAGGGAAAAGAAAGAGAATAAAATGAATATGCAATTTAGTTGAATGGCAGTGGTTAATATTAGAGAATATTATAAAACAGGGTATCTGTGAGGGAATAACCTATTAGCTGAATATGGGAGGGAGATTTCTAAACTAATTATCTTCAGAGCCACATCAGATTTGAGAAATTCATCCAGCCATGGTTCAACACAATGATTTTTATTGGGGGGGGGGGGGACTTGCTTAAATTGATTATTAACTGAGAATGATTTTGCAGGGGACTTGAATTTTTTTTTTTTTTTGGGGGGGGGGGGAGGGTGGCAATTGCTTTATCTTCAGTAACAAATTTATAAAACTGAACCTATTCAGAAAAATGTAAATAATTCCTTGAGCAGGATGTATGTTATTTGATTATAGTTTGACAAAGACATAACTTAGTCTGTAGGCCTATACAAACAACGACTTCTTGCTTATGAAGATAACAGTCCTTATGTTTCATGGATGTAGTTTATCATAATCGAAACTAAGTAATGGATGACTAATATTGTAGCCTTTGCTTGTAGACAAGTTGAATTAGGGTCAAAGCGTCAAATAACCTGGCAATAACGTAAATCGCTTGTCAAGTGTACTTTGCGGATATTCTTCCCAAAATTGACCTTTGACCCAAAGTGCCAGGATGCCTGCATTCTAGGGTGATATCCAGAGACAACAAGGAGTATCTGCTTTCCAGACGACCCTCCCTTTTCTTTGATCTCTGTCGGTAAGAGATCAGATGACTTGGGCACCAAAGCCTCATCTTTCATATTCACAACCTTCGCACTGATCTGGAGGATGCTCAATGCGATTACGGGAGTGTCATCACTGCCCCGGTTGCACCACCGCAAGTGGTGCGAACCACCCTTGAAGCACTGCACAAACGGTTGTAAAGCACTCGCTCCTGTGACAACTGATTTGCAGTCAATTCCTACACTTACTGAATTCCCAACTCCAACCCTGGACCCAGCACTACACCTAACCCTATAACAATGCTAGCCCTAACCCTAAACCTAATCACAACCCTAACACTAATTCTTTACTTCTAACAAAGTAAAGCCCAGAGCAATGCTCACTGGAGCAAAATCTTATGTCGAGACACACGCCATCAATGAAAGCTATGCACAAGCCATGCGCGCACAGTTGTAACAGTGTGACGAAAATTGTGGTAATGTATGAAAAGATTCAGCTGTGGGATTGATCTAGAGAGGATGCAGAGAAAGAAGGGCTCATTTTCTGTAAGCTTTCATGAAGCACAGGACTGGAATGACTAGTTGTGCAAGGATATTAAAGGAATCTGGAGAAACCATCTCAATATCTGAGGCAGGATTTTTGTCATCTTTTGATGCCGAAAACAGAATCCACAAAGTGATTCCCCACACACTATGGCTCTCTGAGTTTTCTTATTCAGCTAATGGGGATGGGCTTAAAATAGATCAAAGAGAATATAGGTTTGTTTTGATGATTATATGGCCATGATGTAATCTTCACATGCCTTGTATTCTATTCTAGCCTTTCCCCCTTTGTATCGATTTGCAGGCCATCTATGTGATGTTTACTACTCCCTCTCTTGTTCACTATTTATATCACTGTTTATCAGTACTCTCCTCTCTTTTGCTCTTGCTTTCTTTTTAAATTTTTCTACCTTTCTTATTTTGGGACTTTAATTGATTTATCTCTCTCTCTCTCTTTCTCTCTCTTTCTCTCTCGTTCTCTCTATCATTCCACTTTCTTTTTTTTCTCTCTCTCTCTCTCTTAAAATATTTATCCCCCCCCCCTCTCTCCTCTCCTGACTACTCATACTTTACTACTCCCTCTCTTGTTTACCTGTTGTTTCTTTCTCTACATTCTTCCTCTTCACTCTCTCTCGCACTCTCTCTCTCTCTCTCTCTATCTCTCTCTCTCTCCAGGATATGTCTCTCTTTCTGCCTTTTCCCTGTCTCCCCTTTCCCTGTCTCCCCTTTAAATTGTTCTCCTACTCTTTACTGTACGAAGAAATAATATCCCCAAAACACCACTCCATGATCATAGAGATACTGCTCCCAATATGAGCAGAATTGACATAATGTCACTTCCCAGTCGATAGAAATAAAAACCCGATGTCACAAACACTCTCCTAAACCACACACATCGCATTTACTATCCAGTAACTAACCCTCAGATGTTGCTTCCATCAAACATGTCACATAACATGTCACAAAACCTGGAAGACGGAGGAAGAGCAGGGACTATACTTGGCTATAAACACAGCTCGACTTCTCAACCCAAAAGAGATGCATGTGAAGTACATTAAAACTAACAATTTAATACGACACACTTCAACAGAGCATACCGATTTAAAACATGCAATTAAAATTATAAAGAAAACAGAAAAAGCTTAAACTGGCTCTTACAGGAGAAAGAAAGATATAAATCTAGTATTACAGTGTGTTGTTTTATTCCAGTTCTCTCGTGATTTTGATTGTATATGTGATATTCATCACTTAAATGTTTTTACCCGACTTTAAAATAAATATAAAAAGGTTTTTCCTAAAGCTATCTTGTAGCTTTCCAGTATGATACTTTTCAATGGACATTGCATGGCAGTATTTTTTGCTACGAAATAAGGAAAATATCTTATGAATACTATTCATATCTGCTGCCCATCCTCACCGAGACAACAAAGAGCTTCACAAAACCAGATATTTCACCTTCAAATTGGCAAAAATTGGGATGATCAAATACAGCGTGTAGGCACGTGCAGCTAGCTAAATAAAACTTTTCACCACATTCCCCTTTTTCTTCCTCTCTGCCATAAGTAGAATACCATACATAGATACAAAGTGCAATAGAACTCATCAAAGTTTGTCACAGAGGATATCTGCACCCCCCCCCCTTCGTCCTGTGCCCCCTTTCATAACTTGCCTTCTCATTCTCCCATCTACCGCAAAAGCTGGGTTTACGTTTGCACATAATGGTAGATTTGCCCACGATATACATTAAGAATTTCTTGAAAGCATTCACAGCTAAAGCTGCGGTTAGATGATAAATCTAATCTAAACCAAAATGTAATTTTTCAAGTAATCTCATGTGATGAAGTTATGAATTTTGTTACTTTATATTTCTCTCTAAAGCATTCAGTTTGTCCCTTTTTTTCTAGACCAATTAACTAAATTAAAGTAATAACTTATATTATAAAATATCTACTAATTATAGTCTGAACGTCATATCATACAAAAATCTGGGCGGGGCTTATCGTGAGCGCTCGCAGATGATTGGCCAGCTGTCATATCAATTGACCTATTAAAGATTAGTTTCTCTATAGGATGATTCTTAATACAACGTTTCTTGATTACCCAACTTTTGTATAATTTCCTACAGTCTGAACAGACCTGCTAACGGATCCCTTAGGCAATGGGTTTAAGTACTCAGTGTGAACACCGCCGCTATGAGCGATTCCAAAGATGCGAGATATAACCTGAGCTTGTTGACTGAGAACTGGACAAATGAAGTGTTATATCATCGTGATCCCGACAGTAAAGAGACCTGACATGAAGAATGCTATGCGGGACTAAGCGACCCTCTGAGAGCCACACACAGCTCAATTGCTTTAACAGAGCTCAGTTTACTCTTCATGACTACTATAACCCTCTTTGAATTTTGATTGTATATTTGAAGAGGATAAATGGCCGTGCCCTATATGGTAAACAAATAATTTAAAGTTACATATATACCAATATAACACAAAGTACCAAAAGTGCTGCACAGGATGAAGTATAGACACAGAAATTTGAATAGATGGGTCTGCCTAGAAATTAAAACTTGGCAAAAACACAAGGAAAAAATCGGTAAGAAATAAATCCTTGTAAAGATAGGGAAGGTTACCTGACCAAAGAGATATACTTCTTGGCTTCCTTGGCTAGACCCAAAAAACGCTAGATGAAGCCAGTTTCATAAAGGCATAGAATGATTGGATAGATAGAAATCTATTCAGCATATAACATTGTATTTCAGTGAAACACAAATATAGTCCATTAAAAGATACAAATAGCCTTGAACTTTTGTCCTTTGCACGTTTTTGTATAAAATAAATCAAATCATTTAATTATAGGTAAATACAGATAAGTGATTAAGATTTAAAGTGTATTAATGATTGGTGTATAAGTTTCCTTTTCCTTGTCGAGTTTGTTTGAACAAAAATCTTTTAGGTAAAATTTATTTAATTTCTCTTGAATAGAAAATAAAAGTGGCTCTGACTGTCTGACATGAAACTAAAAAATACTGAATTTCATTCATAAACTAAAATCCCTCCTCCTTCAAATATAAATGAATAGAACTATCTCTGAAAAATGAGCTATTCTCCCAAAGTCTCTGGCACAAAATGAATACACAAAGATGTGATTCAGAGAAAAATAAATACAAATATCAGAAATTCAATGCAGCATTTAAGGCTTGTTTGAGAATGAGTAACTCTTCAAATTTTGGCTTTTCGGCATGAAAGCCTGGAATCTGCTGGCTATGTGAGATGGCTATCTCAATTTGCTTCTAAAATGAGCTTAAATAAACCTTTTTTATACCCCAATCCACAAAATTGGTGACAAAAGACTGGGGTTTAATTTCACCTCCAATCTCGTATAATCTGAGGGAGTTGCATTGTGGTGGTGGTATTAATACCCGAGAATGATATATACACAGTTCATTGTTGTTGCCGTAGTGACTCACTGGCCCCCCACATTGGAAACGGGTTCCTTACTTGGATATATATGCTCCGATTGAATGCACCCCAATCTAAGAGTAGCAGGAGGAGAATAATGTTGACTGAGAACGAGACGGGGTCGAGAGTGTTATGAAACCCCGACATGAAATGCAACCTGGGAAGATACCACGAAGCGTTTGTTCGAGGTGTATACACAGACGCTTCGGGTTACCGCCCGCCCTCGCTTGGTGGGGGAAGAGGAGGGCATGAGCGCAACGACACGCTCGCTTCAACGAACGAGTGGGAACTGAGCGGAGAGAAGATAAAAA